GCAGCTTCTCTACGCTTGATAGCTTGCTATATGTACCATCAATGTTCCCAATCCGCACAAGACTCGGGGAACGTGCTGCCCTGGTACCCCCTATAAGCCTTCTCGAGAATGATTTTCCACGGGTGGCCGGTACTCCAGCTTCACTGTACCTCAGAGCTTGCTGGAGGCCATGAAGGTCCCCGTCCTGTTGAGACTCCTAAAAGCTACGATGTCTAAGCTCACAAGTGCACCGGCATAGTTAGTATGCCCGACAGGGGCAGCTCCGGCCATTTCCTCAAATATACTTATAGAAGATGCAAGATCAAGATCACCCAGGCCACCCAGCCGCCCAAATCTCTTCACCGCCGGGACGACCCAAAGCTATAGGGGATCCTATCCGATTGGGGTTGCCGGGGGAGAGAATGTTCTCACCGCTTTTTCCACTGGGTTATTATTGCGTTGAGAGCACTTGGGTTATCAAACTGCATGTACCTTTTCAACAAACCACATACGTCTGGAAAACTAATTTCCATTCTGCTCATTAAGCCCTGTATTTGCACCCCCCCTGTCGAGCAGACCCGGGTTAGAGCTACCAAAGAGCAGATTGGATGGATTCTATCAGTATCCGTAGTACCTGGCCAAGTGTTGACTGTTTCCGGTATCCTCCTCAAGTATGATGTCCAGGAAATTTCACAAGTTCCACCCGACAAGAACCCAGGTGGTTGAGTCCGGCTTCTAATCTTGTCCTTCCTTCCCACCCCTCTCCCTATTGTGGGCTCTACGGCCTTGTCCCCCCAACCTCAGATCACGAAGCCCCATTAAAGTGCTGTGCAAAGTTAGTGAATCCCTTGCCAAACATCAGTTTACGGCTTTCACCCTGCCCCCCCCCCCCAGCAGCTCCCCGCGGCTCCCTTCCACAGGGCCCTTCCGGGACGAGGTGTCCCCGCCACTCAGCAACTCGCTCAAAGCCTCTCCTCCACTGGCATGGCTGGCTAGTAATCAACCGCCAATCTCACTACCGAGTTCGCTGTGCGCTTGGTCCGGGCCAGTGGTGTCAAAGTGCAAGAAGCGCGTTGTAACGAAGCAGCAAGGAGTGAGGGGTTCTGCTATTATGCTGCTTAGGCCTCCAAAATTCCACTTGCCGTGAAGTATCCTGGTAGTTCTAGCTACTGTGCCCGAGTACCGTGAACTCTGAAGAAGGAACCGATTTGTGGGATCCATCTCCGGTTAAAATATAAAGCCATTCCCCCTCCTTCAGCAAGCAAAGTGTGACCACGCGGCCCGTGAATACTGGTCTTGAGTTGGTAAACCGTGGTCCCACACGCAAAAAGCAGCCCCCTCCACAAACCTCTTGACACTACCGCCATGAAATAGCAGCGCTCCAACCTAAACCTAAGCCTTGCTCTGGCAGCGCAACCTGCTAGCAATATTGGCGGTCTGAGATAAGCATCTTCTCAGTGGTCAGTTCCGAATTCAAAAGAAGCCTTGCTTGTTTCCCGCCAACCTGAGCTTTCTGCCTTCCCACCCCCCCCCTGTTTCGTATTCTTTTTTTTTCTTTTTTCTCTTCCCTCAACAGGAACCGGATGTTTTCCTCGTGGACATGATTATTTGCCACATTAGTGCGGTCTTGCTACGCTGCGAGAAGGCACAGTACGAGCAACTGCTGTATCGTATCGTATCGTGACATGGGCAACCGGCGACGAGAAATGCCCAAAATCTATGCCCTTTCTGCCATCATAGTTCTGTTGAGGTACTGTACGGTAACCGTATTCCTACGAGTAAGAGCAAGGCAACCTCCCTTCAGGAACCCGAAAACAAGCAAAGTCTCCAGAGTGTAACCAACCTGGCACCGCATTCCACAGCCCAGCAAACGCCATAACAAACCACCCTCACAAATATCAGACACCAGCGTGCCGTGCCACACCACCCAAACCAAAGTTCAGCTAATCCCCCCACCACCCCTCCCGAACCCATGGATGGTTCCCAAGACTTATGCCGGGAACCTTCTCGATAACGGGCATGGAATATCTTACAGTACGGTAGTAACGGTACTCGTACGGCTGCCTACACGCGACATTGCGGGGCTCCTCGCTGAAGCGTTCGGCTCAGCGAGGGCACTCTTGGCAACACAGCCGGGCATGGTACTCGTACAACACGGTGCATTGTTCTTCCACCTCAACCGGGGTAACACGGCAGTACCCGCGATACGGTACAGCAGCTATAGCCAGCTATTCTCGGCCTCGGCCAGAGGATGCCCTCTTTTTTTCTGTTCACCTTTCTTTTTTTTTTTTCTTTCTTTTTTCCCTCCCTCCCCTCCCTCCCTCCATCGCTACCCCAGCTCTTCACTGGTACTGTACGAGTCGCAACGCCGTATCACCATGTCCTTCTCCAAAACGGTCGGCCAGCAACGGCGCGGAAGCGTTCACAGCCGCTACCGAAGCGATTCGGAACGGAGACGGACGTCGCATCCCGACGACCGACCAGTGCATGGTGTAATACAGTAAGGGTATGTATGTATGTATATGTATTATATGTAGGGGGGTTCACGAGTATCAACGGTTTATATTCCGTGTTATGAATACATTCCGCGTAAGCTTTCAACTCTTTTTTTATTCTTTTTTCTTTTGCTTTTCTCCTTCCATCGCTACGGTTCCAGGGGGGCCGGGGGCCGGGGAGAGGGGAGAAAGTGGGGCGATGTCCTGGTGCGGTGACTGCGGCCAAGGGGGTACTATATTACGGAGGGGGGGGGGGTCCACAGTACTCGTACAGCTTGTATTATTTTAGTCTATTAGGGCTAGCCACTAGCGCTCAACGCCTTTCTCTCCTTTTCCTTTTCCTCCGCGCTATGTAATAATGGCGCCCTTTTTTATTTTTATTTTTTTTAGAAAAGCAGCGAAATGGAATACAGTACCGATTCGAGTGATGATACATGATAAGGGGATCGCACTCGGTACGAGTAAAATACCGTAGCATGCTTGTAACCGGGGAGAAATACTGTAACGGGATCCAATCCTCCCTTACGACATTTTCCCAAAGTCTCACACCACCCCTTTCCCCCCCCCTCCCTTCAAACTCCCCCGGCGGGCGTGGCGTACCGTGTTGTACTCGAGTACTTGTATTGTACCAAAATGATATCGAAGCCCCCGTTCCCACACACACACACATGATCCAGGTCCACTTACTCTGTCTCGTGCACTGCCGGCACTACCCTCCCCTCCTGCCCTTCGCGAAGTGTGCCGGGTTTGGGACGGAACGCGGCGCATGTCCGTCCGGCCGCCCTTGCAGTGGCGGTAGGTGTGGCGTGGCAAGCGAGGCATGTGATTGGATGGGTTGTGGCGGGAATGGTGGGGGCAAGGGAGCTTGATTCGGAGCCCCTTCCCACAACCACTCGGCCAGAAAGAGGGGGAAGGGAGTGCGCGTGTGTTGTGTCTACGAGTGTCGGGACCACGGCGGAAGGATCGGCCGCCGGGGCGGCGCGGGTGGATTATGTAACCTGGTAGTGTGCTCAACCCTACCGTATGCTTCCATCTTACGCGCTACGGATGGGGAGGGGAGGAAGGGAGGGAGGGAGGGAGGGAAGGAGAGGGGGGGAGGGGGACAGGGAAGAGGTGATTGTGGTTGTCGCTTGTTTTGGGTTAGGCATGGGGATGAAGGGATTGGTGAGATTTGGGCTCCGCCGCACACCTTTTTTTGCTGTACGAGCATCATACCGTATCATACGGCTGCGAGGTGGTGGGGAAGGGAAGAAAGAAAGGTGGGTGGGTGGGTTGGTGTATGGGGTTGTGACGGTGGTGGTGGTGGTGGTGGTGGGCTGGGGAGTGAGGGCGTGAGGGCGTGAGGGCGCGAGGGTGAATGAAGGGAGCAAAGCAACCGGGCACACCGTCCATCCCAGCTACCGTATGCTGCCACTGCTCCCCTCCTACGATGGATACCCACCGTGCCCACCTGTCTTGGGCTACGGTAGCGGTGACCAGAAATCTACCTCTATGCGAGGAGGGGTGGGGAAGGGCGACGAATGCTTGAGAAGGGGTTAGGGACTTTGGAGAGGCGGATTCGAGAGTGAGATGGGAGCTTTAAAAGGGAATGCTTTCGCGAATGGTTCCATTGCTTGCAATACGGTAGTAAATATAGATTTTGGTGCGGGTGAGAGGGGGGGAGAAAGTCTTGAACCCCGTTACTGTATGTACTCGCACAGTCTTGACCTGTCGTCTACGCCCCCATATCCTCCCTCCTCACCACCCACTCCGGCCCGACAAAATTTCCCTTTCGCTCAAGGCGCCGTTCTTCCTGGCTGGGGTTGCTTCTTCTTCTTCTTCTTCTGTTGCTGCTGCTGCTGCTTCTACCACTGCTTCTGCTGCTGCTCATCCCCCCCCCCCCTTTCTGAACCCTTCTCTGCCCAGTAAGAGGAATACATTTATCCCAGCAACTGATTTCCTTCTAGCTCTGCCGAGAATTTGCAGTCGCATCGACCTTTGGTCGCCCCTACCGTAAATTTCTCATTGTTGCCTATCGCCCACCCGTTTTTTTTTGGGTGGTGTTGTTGCCCAGCTCCGAGGCCGCCTTTTTCTCCCGCTCTCCTCGCTGGTGTGCAGCTCTCCCTCCGAGAAGAGTCTCCACTCCCCTCCCTCCCATCCCACACTCTTCTACCTTCCCCCTGCCCTCATCCCACACATCCCCTCCCACCACTCTCCTCCTCCTCCACTCCCACCCCTCCATCTCTTCCTCTTCACCACTCAGGATCTCCCGCTACCCTTCCCCGTTCTCGTAACTGCTTAGCTGCCTCAACTTTGTGGTTCCTGTTGTCGCCCTCAACCACTCCGGGCTGTAATATTTTCACTGCTGCCCACCCACCAGCACCCACCCTCAACCCTCTACCGCAGCAACAACAAGTTGCTGCTGCTGCTCTCTCCCCTCGTTTCCGTTACCCACCTATCCCCAATACTATCACTCCCTTTACCATTTACCCTTTTCCCGCTTTGAAATAATATCAACACCGCACACTTCAGTTGAGGCGTATCACTATGGCGGGCAGCCCTGGGTCGCCTCCCCCCGCTCCTGCAATCAGTGTATCTTCACCCTCATCTTCTATCCCCGCAAAACGCCCCCTCTCCGACGGGAATAGCAACGCCAACAATCATGGGAATGGCAACGCGGTGAATAACCACAACTCTTCCTCTCCTCCTTCTAATTCCGCCTTTTCAGCGCCTGCCGCTCATGCGTCCGTCTCAACTCCTCCAACAAAAAAGGTCTTGGAGAGGAATCAGGCGTGTTTGTCTTGTCGCTCGCGCAAAAGGAAATGCGATGTTAGTCCCCTCCCTCCCGCGCTTGCTCCTGCCTTTGGATCGTGTTCTCATCGCCTAGCGAGTTTTTTTTCTTCTTTTTTTTTTCTCTTTCTTTCTTCCTTCTCTCTCTTCTAAATTGAAAAATAAATAGATGAAAACAAGCGATGAATATGCCTTGTAGGAACTTGGAAGGGAGCTCGGGAATGCTGACCATCTGACTATTTGTTGGTGCAGGGTGGAAAGCCGACTTGCGGTGCTTGTGAGCGCCTGGAGAGAAAATGTCAGTACTCGCAGAATAGTCCCGCTGCCGTGACGAAAATCCATTCGTCATCTTCGGCATCTCATCAGACTCAAAGTAAGTTTCCTATTCCGGTGGTCTTGGAACATTTCGGTTGCGACTGAGCTTGTGCTCGTGCTGCATTATGATCGGGGGTGCGTATATGTGATGGTTGACATTTGTATGTGCTAATTTCTGCTTCCTCAGAAGCCAGCCAACCTTTGCCACAGTGGGCTCCAAACGCGACGAATGAAGATTCTCAGGCGCTCCAGATCGGCGCTCCTCCTCCGCGCGCCGACCGCTCTGAACATGTGCCCGCCAGTACTGTGGTCCCTTCCACCGTTGCCTCGGGCGCTGCGGTTGCAAACCACAATACCTTCACGCCGATCAACCTCGACTCTACATCGCAGTCCCCCACGACTAATGGGAATTCCGGCCTGCGCCATGAAATTGCTCAATCTTCTGACTCGAGCAAAATCTCCAAGAGGCCCCAAGACAATACCGCCTCGAACTGCGAAGCGGGCATTTTTGCCTGTCACTTCTTACAAGCTTCTCCATTTGTGGGGTTGGATGCTATTGACATTGTGCCCTGGGCGGGCTCGCTGGCCAGAGTCGCTGTGTGGGATGACAGGCCTAAGAAGAACAAGAGCCTTTCACCTCAAGCCATAGAGACTCCTGAGAGCACCAATAGCGCGACAACATTGGTCAACAATGATGTGGGTGGTGCGCTTGAGGAATTGCCGTCACACGATACTCTCATGGAGCTGTTTGAATTGTTTTTCGATCAAATTCACCCAATCATCCCATGCCTTTACCGAAAACAAATTTTCGCCGATATTCAGCCAGGCGGTAGCCTGTCCAAACCCTTACCCCTGGTGTTTGCAGTTTTGGCATTGGCTTCCCTGATCCATCCTGCGCCAGCTGTGCAGGATAGATCAGCTCGTTGGCATGCTGCCGCTAAGCGCGGGTTCGATGCTGCGGTTACCCGTGGCAATTATTCCCTTAATAATGTTCAAGCTTCGATCTACATCTGCATGTACTGCTTTGTTACAGCCGAGCTGTCCGAGTTGTGGATATTCCTTGGCAAAGGTTATCGCATGTCAAATCCACTTGGATTGCATCAGATTGATTCCCCGCGAAGGGGAAGGTTCCCGGGCTTCCTGCCACATCCAAAATCGGAGCAGGATCTCGAGGAGAGGAGAAGGGCTGCTTGGGGACTTTATGTTTTGGATAGTTTTTTTTCGTGCTCGTGTGGGTGGCCTTTGGCTATCAATGATCGTGACTTTTGTGTGAATTTCCCTGTCGATGAAGTTGTATTTCAGAGTGGGGAGATTGAGGTATGTTGTTTTTTTTTTTTTTTTTTTGCGAGTTTAGCTGGTAGCATTCATTATACTAACCTGAGGATTCTAGAAAATGTCCCATATAGTTGTGGAGCCATTTGCGCACAATTTGGCCGACTTAATTGGCCCTACGAGCGCCTCATCTCCACCGAGGGGACCTTTTCACTATCTCTGCAAACTCGCAGTTCTCATTGGGCGTATTGTTTCGTATAACAACTCTCCTATTGCTCCCACCGATAATACGGAGTTTGAATCTCTCGAAACAACTCTCGCACGTTTCCGACTTTCCCTGCCTAGGAAGTATCGCAGCATTGTCGAACTCAGCCCCTCGGAAGTGACGCACGTTACTCAGCTTCAGATCCTCCTCCACGTCTGCACAATTCTCCTCTACCACCCAACCGTCCCAGTACCAACTTCACCACTATCGTCCTCCTCCGATGGTCCACTCCATCAAAACCGGGGCCAATCCCCGGGCGCCTCCTCGATTCACGACCTCTCCCCTGCTGAACCGGCCTTTGCCCGCTGCGTCTCAGCAGTGAACAACATCCTCTCTATCCTGAGAACACACATCAACAGCCCACCGCCATGCCCACCAACGGGGTCCCCGGTTGTCATAGACGTGCTGCAAAATCCCTTCATCACGCCGTCACTCTTCCTCTCTGCGCGTATCCTTGTTGTGCGCTGGCTAGAGACCGGTCGGGACAAGGGTGTTCGCGCAAAGATCGATTTGATACTCGGAGTCTTTGATCGGATCATGGAGGTTTGGCCAGAGGTTGGATCAAAGTATCGGTGCTTAGTACTGGCCGATATGGAGAGGAATAGCAATGGCCTGGGGGGCACTCGGAGTGGTGCTTCTGGGTATGTGAGTAAGGATTGTGCAGCGGCGTATGTTGGTGCGGATAGGTGATCTCTTTTGGTCTGTTGGTTCGTGTTCAAGTGCGGGGTGGGGTGTAATATTACTTTTCGCTTGCTGAGCTTGTTCTCACTTTCTGTGGGCTGGCTTACTTTCTCCACTTCTCCACTTTTCCTTTCCTTTGCCTTTTCCTTCCCATCTCATTTGTCCAAGGGTTCCGGGGTTAGCACGGTGGTCTTTTTTTTTTTCGTTTTTTTTTTCATTCTGGTTTTCCATATTTTCTGGAATCGTGTTTTATTATCATATTCTTTTCATTTCCTTTCCTTGCCCTTCCCCTTGCGCTATTTCGCTTCTTCGGGTTTTGTGCGGATCGTCGTCGATAGAGGATAATGAAAATTTCTTTCTTTCCTTCTTTAACCTTCCTTCTCTATTTGCTTTTTGGTTTTCTCGCTGTCGAAACGGAGTATGAATCGGTCACGTCTTATCACTCGAATTTGTTGTTTTGTTTCATCTGTTCGTCGGCTTCTCGGGGGGGGTTTTTTTTTTTTTTGGCTGTTCGTTTTGGGAAGTGCGGGATGGGTCCGGTCTGATAGTCAATGAGGTCTTTCTTTCCAGAGGGGTCATGTGCCATTTGCGATGCGATTTACCGAAGCAGCTCCTGCGATTTGCCGTCGTACGAGCAGTGTCGTGAGGACTGTGTATGTACCCCAAGTAACCAACTGTAGACTAAATTACGCGTGTGCCGGTGCGATATGATAGCATGACCTCTTGGGACATCTATTCGTGGGTGAATGTGCGAACAATTGCTTACGCTTTCATTGACGTATCCGAGCGCAATGTGTCGGTCATGACGGGTCATTCGCGATTTTCAAATTTCTTTTACTTGCTTCTCTTTCGCTCAATTACCTACCCCCTTTGCTGTTACGACAAGTACGATAAGGAAGGGGGGGCACTGGAGAACGGTCTTGTTGTTTAGCGACTTGTAAGCTACGTTAGACCTACACGTATTGGCGAGTAGATATAGAGGGAGTAGTATAATAGTACAGTACACAGTACATCCACCTCGCGGGAGCACAAAAGGCAACGATGACCCCGCAAGAGTTGGTACAACGCCGCGCATCCAGGGTGAAAAGAACCACACATCTAATCGTGAGAATGGAGAAAGGGGGGATGAGGGTGGAAGGAAGCGTCTAGGGTCTTTGATAAAGCGTCTGTCAATAAAAAAATATAAAAAAAAAAGGAAGAAAGGGGGTGAATAGGTTAGTAGGTAACGGGGAAACGTGAGTAAGTAAGCTACGATGACGGGTGTTAGAACTTTGGACGATTCTGGAGTTTGGAAAAGGCTGGCTGGGTACGTGTGTGAGATTTTGCGTCTCTGTATGATGTATGTATGATACGATTCTAGGTGCATCTGGCGGGTACTTTATAGTATAAGACTTATTGGAAATATTGGATTGGATAGGGTCGTTAGGATAGTTTCATCAAGCCGTGATAATCCGTGATGCAGTTTTTTCTGTATGCAGGGAGGAGGTAGTTCAATCTGGGTACGCATAATACATAAATATCATGATGCCACGCAAGTTATAAATTCTGGAGTGCCGGGGGGGTGTACCGTAATGTGATGACAGTAGAATAAGAGAAGCTCTGTTCGGAGGTATTATACATCGTAATGTAATGATACCATACTTAAAATTCATCCCATCCGGATAGAGAACTATACCACCAATGCGAAACCGTGGTATGTAGCTATTATGATTTTTTTTTTGGGATGGGAGTTTGTACACCCTAGAGCAACTGTGATTGACGGGTTGGGATGGGTACCGACTTTTCAAATCACTTTTGTAATGTAGGGGGGGACTATCGTACTAATTTACCTTCCTCTCCTGTTCCCGTCCCCTACATAGAGAACTCGCAATGCGATGGATTACACATTTGAAATGAGTTGAACATCACATTATTCACAAATACTAATCTGTAATAGTTTGGGAACTTGGCATACAGTGCAAGTACATCTAGATCAGAAACCAAGATTTGAGCGCCTTGGTTCTGCGTTGGGGCTGCCATCGGCAGTTGTTGGCGGGTGAGTTTGGTACTGTGGTATAGTATGTTGGGGTTGGAAGCGCAGTTTGGAGAATTACGTATCTGAGGTGATGGGAGGTGTTGCATGGTAGGACTGTGTTTGTCTGGTCGGGATTTTCGGTGGGTATCCTGTAATATACCGTAGGGCCGGATTGTATATCCAGATGGATCATAATAAAGAGAGGGGGACATTGGAGTTCTTGCTGTTATTTCATATTTGTATCTTAGAGGTTTGTTGGTTGTTTTATTTTTTATTTTTGGGTTGGTGGGGGTGGTAGTGTGTGATGAGTGGGGCAGGTATCATACATTGTTGTATGTGGTATGATAATATATGGATGCGGTGTTTTTATTATTATTATTATTATTATTATTATGCAGTTAGGGTCTGTTTTTATGGGTAATAGAGTATTTGTAGAGGTGGGACTCGACAAAGACGGACATAAAATGCGGCAAGTGGATATCACAGAATTTCTGGGGAAACTTTCAATCACAGAAAAGTCCCGAGGATTGTGTATACCAGGTAATCACCATACCTTTTGTGCGCCAAGTTACGAGATCGGTAAGGTACGTTATAGCAGTGCGGGTTTCCTTTACAGCACAGCGCAGGGAGAAGATATATGGTGTCAGCCCAAGTATGCGCTCCCTGGAAAATTGGCCGAGTTATCGTATATACTTCAACGTTAACCCCATTACTTTTTAAGATTCTTTGTTTCTTTCTCTCTGACAGGATGCTATATTCCGATTTTTGGTACTGTGACTTCTGCATCGTCCTCTTCTGTGTGATGGCTCTTGCCTACCGCATGCCTACTGGGTACATTAAGAAACTGTGCATTTGTATGATAGATTTCATAATTGTGATCTTTACTGGTCTTAGGCCAAAAAAGAAAAAAAGGAAGAAGGGGCTTTGCTTTGTTGATCCATCTTCAATCCATATTTGAGACTTGCGGGAATCGTCAAACAATTGCCCGGTAGTAAGCCAGCTCGGAGCTTGTGGTGGGAACCAAAGTATTGTATAGGAATATGGGAAGCGTACACAATGTCACCCCACTTGAGATGTATGAAATAATCTCACAAGAAGCGGTACTATTGCTGTGATCCATGAAAAAGAGCAGTTTTCTTCTTCTTTTCCAATATATATATATTATCTGGTCATCTTCATGTATACTTATAATCAACGGCATTGGAGCAGGACTTAACTGTCTTTTTATATGGGGAAGGAGAATGTGTACAGATTGTCATATAGTAACTGGACTTTGGAGCTCACACATTTGTATTGTATCGTATTGAATATACTGTGGTGGAGAGTTGGGCGGCTTAGTATACTATACTTGAGTAGAGAGCTCTCAAGCTAATGCCGGCACGGGTGTTGATTCTCACTTAAACTTTGGACCTTGCCGATACGGCAATCGTGAGGTATTGGTATCATAGGCACGCTACTCTGACCTCAGTATATCCCCGAGAATTCGCTTTTACGGTTGAAATATCTGGTATGGTATGGTATGGTAGGCATTCCATCTGGACCCATTCCTCACAGATAATTCTTTTAACAACAATGCTAATTACCGACGAGTGAAAGGTATCCCTAACCAAGCATAACATACGCTATACACACCCCGTACAGTACAGTACATCCAACCGTACATCAATCCGTTCATAGACCAACCCACCACCAATTGACATCCTCCAGAGATAAGAAAACAAAGTAACAGAGCCAACACCCAAAAGCACCATAGGATAGATACCGATAATACCAATCCACTTCACCCCTTCCTCACAAAATCACGTCAAGTCCCCCCATCCTTCTAAGACCTGTGCGCCAAATAGGCAACCCTAGCCTCCAACGCTACATTCTTCCGTCCCGCTGGATCCTCCGCCGCCGGGTCGGTACTCGAATTCCCCGACGACGAGGACAACTTCTTCGGCAGGAGTTTTTGAAAAGCGGATTTCATAGTGAATGTTGTGGAGGTGGAGGTAGTGGAGGCGGCAGCACCGGAGTGTTTTTCCGACATTGTGGGTTGTTTTAGTGAAAGTGGCAAGACCTTTTTTTCCTTTTCTAATCGAGCGACTCGAAGTGGAGGTATATATTTGTATGATAGTATTCGCGGTGCGATTCAGATCTGCTTTGGTAGGATGTGTGGGAGACTGAGGGGTTAAGTTAAGTATTACTGTATTTTTGTTACAAGTGTGCGAGACCGGTTTCCCGAATTCAATTTACCAGTGTTGGGGAAGTGGTTTGAGATTAGTCTTCGATTCTACCCGTATTCTTCGACTCATATATTTGTGTACTGTACTGTACTGCACTGCTGCATACGATAATAAGATGAAGCTAGCTTTTCCCAATTGGTATCATATCTCCCATCATCCCGAACATCCGAGCGAAGCGCGAGGTGACTGGGGAATGCGGACTTGACTGTAGTCGTACACTACTGTACTGTACCACCATATTGGAAGAACTTGACCTTCTCGTACTGTAACCTCGAAGCGTTTCTGGAAAAAGAACCGTTATTGCATTGCATGCTATTATATTATCCAGATCGCACACCGAACACCCGTGCCAATCCTGTCTGAAAACGCTTCGACATGGCGGGCACAGTTCGGTACCATATGCACATACGAGTACGGTATAAGAAGATTAAGTTCTGACTCACCGGGAGCGACCGCGTCTTACTGGTGATGAAGTCTCCGGTAGACTCCGGTAGGGAATGGCGTTTTTCATCTTTTATTCCGGAGGAAAAGGACGGTAGGGTAATTCTCCCAGCACTGATACCAGCAAAGCCCAATTACGGTGCTCTTCCGACACCGGCAGCGTTGAGGAAACACTTGCCACAATAAATATTCCCGCATCCATCGTATCATACCATGGACACTACGTTATCACAGTACGGTACAGTACTAGCTAATTTTTAAAGTATCCGGACACCTTGGCACCCAGCGGCCCTGTCTTGGCGCCGGGGTGTCCGGATACTTTTGAAATCGGCTAGTACAAGTACCGAAATCGTATTCCGTGCGCTTTGTCCTCAAGTCAGTCAGTCAGTCAGTCAGCAGGATTGTCATCCGCTGACATCCATCGTGGCTCGGTTTCGCGAATGCTTCGTCGTGAGTCATGAGCGATGACTGCCAAGCTACGAGTACCGTATAATACAGAGTAAAGCATCATACATACCAACAGTCCGGCTCTTACATTTTTTTTTTTTTTTTTTTTTTTACCCACTCCGTTTGACCTTCGGACCGGGTTGAAGCGCAGTTTTGGGACGGGTGGGGGGCGGACTCTGCCATGTGCGGCGGAGGATCGGTACGGTACGGCACGAGCACTACGATCGCGGAATATTAGTCTTGCCTCCGGCAATCTGTCTATCTACACGTGTACCGTATCGTGCCTGCGGGATTGGATCGTTGAACATGGGAGGTAAAGGCGAGGGGCATGGATAAGAAGACGAAGTGGATAAACAGGCATACCGGGCACTAACTTATGGCTACCGTAGGCGTTCGTATTGCTGGTGCTGTACGAGTACGGTATCATACTCTAGAGCGTGGTACAATACAGTACAGCACCGGTACCGTATTACACCCACAATCGCACGGGACCTGGCCATGGTATGCGGCATTGTATCAGCCCCACTCACAAGCATCGCTCAATCCCATAATACAACAACAACGGTACTCGAGTGCGGTAACTGTGATGCATACCCCAAAGATCTGGCCGCTTATCAATCGAATAATATAATAATCACACACCTCAATCTCCACAAAAAGCCGCATTCCCAACCAGAAGTCCCGATCCTAGAACCGCTCGACTCATCCTTACCGCTGCAGTACCCTTATCGCCCTACGGTACGGGAAATCATGTCGTGCTCGGTTCAGCCCCCCTCCCTCCCCTTCAAAAACAAAAAAAAAAACCATCCACGAATTGCGGCTTCGCTTGACTCCCCTCACTTTCGCTGCGGCGGGCGCTGACTGTTCTGTGTTTGGGCGCGTGGGCCGCGCTGCACATCACCGCGGCCAACCAACCGAGCCAGGGAAGAAGGGGGGGTGGGTTTTTGGCTTACATGTACCGATCACATGCGGTTAGCGTGGCTTACAGCCCCGATAACTTTAACAGGCGAGTGATTTCTCGTGCCTGTCGGGGGTTCCTTCGGCACTGTACGAGTACTGTACTGGTGATAGGGCAATGGAATTCGTTTCATTCGTTCGACATACACTCACCCCCCCACCTCTCTCTTCAAAATATGGAATGAGGAAAAAGGGAAAAAAGTATTCACACCATCAAACCCCCCTCTCGACGCAAAACTTTTCCACCTCCTTCGCCAGGTCCGCCTTCTGCTTTGTAACCTTCTCGCGCACTTCAGCGGTTTCGGGTGTGGAGTGACCGAGGTCCTCGAGGACTTTGAATACCTCCATTTGGGCGTTTATCACTGCGTTGAGCTGGTTTGGTAGCCACTGCTTACTTTAGTACTGCACGGGGCATAAGGAAGGAAGGAGGAAAAAAAAGCACTCTAATTATCGGCGACCCCCCAGTCGCCGTCGGATGAACTGTCTTCTTGATAATATACTCGCGGGTGAAATTCCAGTGACGCCAGCGAAAGTCACGCACTTGATCTAGGGCGTGGAGGTAGAGCGCTTTTTCCCTATCAGTGCTGTGCAGAAAGTGGGATTGGGGGGAAGAAGGGAAGGTACTAGCGGACTCCACATCCTCGAGCGCGAGCTTCTTGACTCCGACTTGCTTCGCGGAAGACTTTACCCAGGATAGAAACTCCATGTGGTTTCCCGGGCGGTACTTGCGGAAGTCTTTCAATATATCCGTCAAGGGAGTTTCGGGCATGGGGATTTGGAGGAGGTTGTCGCTTAGTGGGACCTTTGGAGTAGGGTGGGGGTTAGTTATGGTAGGCGGGGGGGGGGGGGGGGGGAGGATCAACCATGCTATCATTCGCTCCGGACTCACCACGGAAGGAGAATGGTGTGTCAGAGACGCCCTTGTAGATCACGCCATTGGGGAACATTGATTGTCCGGTTATTCCGAAAATGAACCTTTTCAAGCCGTTGGGGTTGGGTTAGGGTTTCAGTGGAATTTCTCAAGGTTTCGGGAAGTTGGGAGGGAGGAGAGAGGAATGATCTATCATACGTTCGGAACTTTTGGTATTCCCCAGGTTTTGAGCGGGACCACATCCCTGCATACATTAGGGCGTTTTTTTTAGCGTCATGGGTTATCACCGATTGTCCCTGTATGGGAATACAAAATGGTACTAACTTTCTAGCACACGGTTAATCTTCGTCAAGCTGTTCACGACTTCCTTCAACCCATCTTTAAACAACTGTTTGTCACCATGCGCAAGGTAGTACTCCGCTCCTTTAAGAGTGTTCACCGCTCCAGCGACGAGTTGCGGGCTCTCCTTCACCATGTCAACGTGTGTGAGCACGAACCCCGCCTCGGACGAGGTCCTATCTAGGCCGTTCTCGAAAGCGCGGATCAGCGCGATGTTGTCGTACGTTAGTCCCAACGCAGGATCTAGAAGGCGGTAATTGTAGAGTGCGTAGCTGCCAGCGTACTCCATGAATGGTTGAAAACCTAAAAAAAAAATCCGCCAACATTAACTTATATATATAAAAAAGGAGAAGATTAAGGAAGGATTCAATTTTGGGAACTTCACCAGTCCTAACCCTGTTAACAAGAACTATTTTAAGAAAGGGCATGATACTCGGGGGGAACTCACAACCTCGCAACCTCAGCTAACGGCATGCTAATATTTTCCGGCAACACACTCCTCCCCAACCCGTAACTTCCGCTCTTCAGCATATTGTGATGGCATGGTTCGAGTAGGTACGAACTCGCCAGGAAGCTGTAGTCTCGGTACAGCGCTGTAAGCATGACCTGGTCGTTCGCGAACTTGGTTACATGCTCGGCAAGGTTCGGGAATTCCTGCTCGACCACCTCGCCCAGCCGACCTTGGGACAAGAGGCCGGCTTCGCCCGTGGCGGTCTCTAGCGGGCAGCGGTGGAGGAGAGTATCCAGCGCAGCGAATTCGGCGGGGAGTTTGGTGATGGGTTCCTGGGTATATCATGTTAGGGTGAGTATAAGTAGGGAGGGAGTGGGGGGGGGGGCACTTACATCCCTGGGGAGAAATCCTCTAGTAGTGCTCACCATGAAGGCTGGTAATGCTCTGTTATCCTTCCTGGTATCGTCGAGGATGTGGAATGGCTCAAGGGTTGGAGTTGGAGCCATCGTTGAGTTGAGAGATATTGATACGTAGATAGAAATCCTGGTATTCTGCTCTCGGGGCGGAGGGGGAAGGAATAAAATCACAGCCGTTTAGCTTCAAGTGAGAAACCGACTATGATATAGGACCGCTGTATCCAGAATAACACCACGGGGGGGAAGGGAAGATAGACTACCAATTTATATGCAACCTTTCCCAGATCAAGTACTACTCATCTACCGGTACTCTACAGTACACTACCAACCTCAGGTATGGCAAAATGTGTCTTTCAACTCACTGTCGCAGTAGCAGTGTGGGGTGGGGATGCAATATCAGTTGTTTTGAGTTTGTATTTCGGGCTTCCACTGAGGGGCTCTGGACTGAGGAGCATATCCTTGGTGTTCATAGGCGAATATTCTAAACCGGCCTGAGGTGGGCGGTGTGCCCGTTCTGTCCTGAAACTATATATTAGGAGAGTAAAGAGAGCTAAAGAGTGTCATAAAATCGTATTTTAACAAGGTATCATACCGGTATCATACACTACTATGCCTCCCCATTAACAAAGCAGCCCTAATATCTAGCCCCAAATTAATTTTATCTCTCACAGAAGGTGTAGCCCGGCATCTCCTCTCATGCCAATCACGTCAGGCCTCTGTACTGGTGGATGGTGACCGTGACACCGGTTACCATCGGAACTTTTCATCCGGCCTACTTTTTTGCTAAACCCGGCCAACATTTGTGTCTGAGTCCTTTCACTCACCCGGTAGTTAATTTCTGTTACCCAACCGGAATATGCAAATGTCCGGGGTTTTTCCCGTAGTCGATTTCGGGAGGCCTTTTCTTCACCGGTCGGCCGGGCATACCGTCTTTCGCGATAGTTTGTATGTCTCTTCGCTTTTTATTTCTTTGTTTCTTTATTCCTCTTATTAATTTTGATATTATTATAGCACGGACTCTGGCTATTCGTGCATGACGCGGTCTTGGACTCTTTATTATGATATCATACTAGCATGGTTACGGTTCAGGAAGTCCGTAGTCCTGGAAGCGGTGTTTGAAGCTGCGAAGGTGTCATGGTTCTAGGGTTAAAGAACCTCCCACCATAGTAAACCGGGGGCAATCTTCACACAAGGGCTTTGTCCCATCAGTGGCCCCTCGAAATAATATCGTAAGCTTACTTGCGCTCATTCTGTTAGACCTCTCAAACCCTGCAGTATTCGGATACTGTGCGACTACTTACCGGTTCCCTCACCAGCGAACTGGGCATGATGACGGGCCTCTTGGCAAGATAAGCACTGGCACCCTGTGACAATGATTAGACTCCGCCATGAATTCTGAATCCGAAAGCATCCAATGGGATCAGACAGACCGTAGATGTAAAGGGTGCGCTGGGGAGTTTCTTGTTGTTATCGGTTATCTCTCCTGCTCCACCTCTTGCACTCCTGGAAGACATCGGGGTGAAAGCTCGGCTTGGGGGGATCATGCTGAGATGGATTGGTACATATTCGGGCACTTGTGGAGCATGGGCGGCAGGTTTGGGCTGTTGTGTCCAAGAGCTACAGTAATGTTTAGTTCTTCCGCCTCTCCTGCAGCCACTTCTCAGCAGTTGCGAGTTAAATTATCATCCTCAGGAATTCAGCGGATCAGTTTTTGTACATGTGATGTGTTGGCCGAGGTGAGTCTCGGGGTGTGCCAAAATACCGGAATGGAGCAGCGGTCGTACCCCCCTAACGGGGAGTACACTTTAACCTGCTATCACTCAAGCAGACAAAGGCACCTGCTCCGTGAGGTTTGTGAATTCGGCGAAAAATTATTAAGTATTGTGTTTCTCAGCACACTCAAGCAGAGGTGTGGATTCTGAAATGATCATGCTGGGGCTTCCTTGGGATAAGAATTTAAATTTGTTGCTTTGGATATGGGGCGTCAAAGCTTGGACTTTGTTCGTTAAAACTGCTCACGACGTTAGACTGAGCTTAGAGTGTTAGGCATCATTTATCTCGCCAAATTGACTATTGGGGTAGAAGCCTCCCCCTTGACCCAAGTACTGGTAGTTCTTGAGGGGGGATATCCGAGATATTAGCCGAGGTTGTTCCAGAGGCGCAGGATGAGATTATTGGTAGATGCGCCAACTCAGACGCCGAGAGATATTGCGTCCTATCAGTGTTGTATTTATCAGCCCTATGGACTAATAGTGCACTTCCTTGCAACCGCCGAGCAACCAGCAGCATAACTACTTCGCCGGACAACAGAAATGTCCGGGGCCACCCCATGGGTTGGCAAAACCTAACTCTTTGGAAGAGGAGTTGTGTGTTACTACCCGGCTCCTTATGAAGGTCTTATTGTTCTTGTAATACTGACGGAGTAAGCTGAGGTGCGAGTATCGGCTCAAAATTGACGACCTCTCTTGAAATCCGCTCTCGCAATATCAGCCGAGATCAGCCCGTCAGCCCGGATAGGTTTGGTCTGGCAAGCTAACAGAATTGCGAATACCAGTTAATGGGATCTAGGAGCTCCTGGCTCCGAATGCGGGGGTTCGGGGGCTGAGGGATGACGGATTTCGAGAGATTTTATGGTGTGCCAGTAGGTGTGCCTAGGAAGTACTCAGCGGCTCGAGATATGACGGAACCGCGATCTAAGTGCACTATACGCCACTTTATAAGCACCCTGGATGATTCGTTGCCTCGGCAGTAAGTTGAATGGTGGGATTCACACGGCGGTCGAAACCGGAATCTTCGGCTAATGCCGAGTAAGTCAAGTCCCCAATTGAATATCATCGGATATACTCGTACTGAGGGAAAAAAAAGAAAAGTATAATTGTTTTCCGTAACCAATACCGGTACTGTTCCGGTTGCATGATACATACAGCTCCATCACTGTGATTTGGCGAGAATGAAGAGTTGTGCGGGGCGCCTGGAACATAGTAAAACCGTAGTCGATTGACTTGAAATATTAAAAACGTGAGAAAGAATGTCAGGAAAAACCCGTTGTGAAACATTGGAAACTCAAATCAGTTGTGTGCACCGTCAATTATAACACGGAAATTTCCTGTCCATCAAAGGGTAGTATGTAGCGTAACACTCAAAATGCTGGTTTTTAGGGCTGCTCGCGAAAGCCCGAGGAATCTGGGATTTACCTGAAAAGGCCTCTCTGATGTTATCCGCCAATAGCTCCTGGCGTCCCGGCGGTATATGGCTAGTAGCTTCCCTGATATATCTGCCAACAACTGGCGCAGCAGCACTTTTACACTTGTGTCCCGTGATTGCTCGGCTTACGCCGTATTTGGTGCACCGTTCCAGCTCAGCGTATGTTTCCGTATCTTGATAGGTGGGGCTCCAGGTGACTTTGAAATCAGAGTGGAGAGCTCTACAGTGCGCTGCGCACGTGAGATGAACTATAGGAATATAATCGTTGGCGCTGAGGGAGGTTTCCAGTACCGGCCAACAGCGCGGGATCGCAAAATAGTATCGTCTCGGTTGATCGCTGTGCAAGCCGGGTGCCTGAGGTAAGATTGCGCTCGGCGTATCGCTGGGGGCTGTGGTATTCCCGAAAGTGCTGGTGATTGTTGCTATATGGGTTTTTTTTGTGTTTCAAGAGTGAGTTGGGACAATATTGAGAGGTTAAACTTGCTACTGGCTGCATCTGGATGTGAAGGCCTAATATCACCCTCCCCACTACAGGTCCACCAGACAGGCACGATGCACGCCCAAGCTGTGCGTGTGCACAAGATGCCGCGGGTCAGTGCAGATTCTCAGTTAGATACACAAATTGGACGGAATCATTTGGCCCGCTTCCAATCGACATAATTTGGCTGGCAACTTGCAGCCCTCCAGCTCCATCGCCGGGAGGGGCCATACGAGGAGAACCCCGGCTAGGATTAGCTGAACAACTGAGTGAAAGTGAAAGTGGTCGTCGCGACGGGGCAGGGGGAGCAGTTGAGGATCGGGATTCGGAAGCCGCCCTCCGGGGAAAGGGTTTTTCGTGATGCTTTACAAGGTGACGTGTCCCCATGAGTGAGTGGTAGTTTCGTGTTACGGGATTCGTTACCCGGGGGATTAGAAGTGTTCTGCCCTGCTAGTATGGGATTGAGGTAATTTCAAGCCCAATTAGAGTAATAAGGATTTTTCCAGAGTAAATATCAGTGTATAGGCATTTCCGGCGGATCTCCATCTTTCCCCAACAAAGGATAATCCCAACACTCAATATCTGATCACTCTGATAATCCGAAAATCTTCTGAGGGGAGTGGGAGGAAAAGTGATTTTTGGATTGAATTAGTGAGATCGCCATAAGGAAATTTTGCTTCTACGGCTTTTAGTGAGTCAAATATGATAAGAGGACTTGTGCTCCCAGCAACTTCATACAACATCACTCGGGGAAAGCAGTCTGGCGAGAACTCCAGAGCCTGACCAAAGATAATTTAAGAGTGCATTTGAGCTCTCCAATCCATGGCGGGAAGCTGTGATGACAGAGACGTCGTGTCCGACGATCCCGTAGGATGCAGTGCCCTGAGAGATGATATTCTGTATCCTGGTGGTAAGGCTTTACCGGGATCGTATATTTAGCACGATATACCCTCCAATAGCACCCCTTGGATCGCGAAAAGTGGATTTCCAGATATTGTGGGCACCCCCCAATATCATATATGGCCTCGTATACCAAGCCCCTTCTGATCGCACAAGCCCGCGGCGACACACCCCTAGGACTGAGGACTGTGTGACATGGGTTAGCCCTAGGTTCTTCACTTCTTCGCAAGACCTAGTAAGTTGGTCTTTTCGAACAAAACTTTCTGTTTATAGTACCCCGTCAGCCGAAAGCATACAAGACCTGAGCACCGTAGGCCATTGGTAGAGTGCGATGGGTGAGGAAAGACTAATGAAGGGCTACCGACTTTCGGTGACTCCCGGCCCCCTTGGCCGTGTCTGGCGTGAGAATCCTGAGCCGCAGCCACAAGGGTTCTAGACACCGCGCCAGAAAGTATCATCCGGCACCAGTATCCCGGAATATTTCACCCGCTTCGCCCAGTCCCATTTTCCAGCTAGCAGGGGAATAGCTCGACGGGGTGCCCTATCACACAGATACGGCTTTTTTGATATTTTTTCTTCTCATTTTCGCAGTTTTCCCCTCCAAAATTTCGGAGAGAGCCATGGTGGGTAGGATTGA